GTGACTCCATGGTGTAGAACAGCAGCTCTCAGGCTGCACCGGCCCTAGTGACTCCATGGTGTGTAGGACAGCAGTCCTCAGGCTGTGCCTGCCCTAGTGACTCCATGGTGTGGAGAACAGCAGTTCTCAGCCTGCACCCGCCCTAGTGACTCCATGTTGTACAGAACAGCAGTCCTCAGGCTTTGCCTTCCCTAGTGACTCCATGATGTGTTATAGAATAGCAGTTCACAGGCTGTGCCTGCCCCAGTGTGTCCCTTGTGTGTAGAACAGCTGTTTTCAGGCTGTGCCTGCTCTAGTGACTCCATGGTGTGTAGAAAAGCAGTCCTCAGGTGTGCCTGCCCTAGTTACTCCACGGTGTACAGAAGAGCATTGCTCAGGCTGCACCTGCCCTAGTGACCTCATGGTGTACAGAACAGCAGTTTTCAGGCTGCACCTGCCGTAGTGACTCCATGGTGTGTAGAACAGCAGTCCTCAGGCTGTGCCTGCTCTAGTGACTCCATGGTTTACAGAACAGCAGCCCTCTGGCTGCACCTGCCCTAGTGACTCCATGTTGTGTAGAACAGCAGTCCTCAGGCTGCACCTGCCCTGAGTGACTCCATGGTGTGTATAACAGCAGCTCTCAGGCTGTGCCTGCCCTTGTGACTCCATGGTGTGCAGAACAGCAGCTCTCAGGCTGTGCCTGCCCTAGTGACTCCATGGTGTGTGGAACAGCAGTCCTCAGCTGCGCCTGCCCTAGTGAGTCCATGGTGTAGAACAACAGCTCTCAGGCTGTGCCTGCCCTTGTGACTCCATGGTGTGCAGAACAGCAGTCCTCAGGCTGTTCCTGCCCTAGTGACTCCATGGTGTGTAGAACAGCAGTCCTCACACTGTACCTGCCCTGATTGAGTGGATGGTGTGTAGAACAGCACTCCTCAGGCTGTGCCTGCCCTCGTGACTCCATGATGTGTAGGACAGCAGTCCTCAGGCTGTGCCTGAACTGTTGACTCCATGGTGTGTAGAACAGCATCTCTCAGGCTGTGCCTGCCGTAGTGACTCCATGGTGTTTAGGACAGAAGTCCTGAGGCTGTGCCTGCCCTAGTGACTCCATGGTGTGTAGAACAGCCGTCCTCAGGCTGTTCCTGCCCTAGTGACTCCATGGTGTGTAGAATAGCAGTCCTCCGGCTGTGCCTGCTCTAGTGACTCCATCGTGTACAGAACAACAATCCTCAGGCTGTCCCTGCCCTAGTGACTCTATGGTGTGTAGAACAGCAATCCTCAGGCTGTGCCTGACCTGGTGACTCCATGGTGTGTAGAACAGCAGTCCTCAGGTTGCGCCTGCCCTTAGTGACTTCATGGTGTTTAGAACAGCAGTCCTCAGGCTGTGCCTGCCCTAGTGACTCCATGGTGTAGAAAAGCAGCTCTCAGGCTGTGCCTGCCCTAGTGACTCCATGGTGTGTAGAACAGCAGTCCTCAGGCTGCGCCTGCCCTGGTCACTCCATGGTATGTAGAACAGCAGTCCTCAGGCTGTGCCTACCCTAGTGACTCCATGCTGTGTAGATCAGCAGTCCTCAGGCTGTGCCTGTCCTAGTGACTCCATGCTGTGTAGAACAGCAGTCCTTAGGCTCTGCCTGCCCTAGTGACTCCATGGTGTGTAGAACAGCAGTCCTCAGGCTTTACCTGCCGTAGTGACTCCATGGTGTCTAGGATAGCAGTCCTCAGGCTGTGCCTGCCCTAGTGACTCCATGGTGTACAGAACAGCAGTTTTCAGGGTGGTCCTGCTTTAGTGACTCCATGGTGTGTAGAACAGCAGTCCTCAGGTTTGCCTGCCTTAGTGACTCCATGGTGTACAGAATAGCAGTCTTCAGGCTGTGCCTGCCCTAGTGACCCCATGGTGTGCAAAACAGTAGCTCCCAGCCTGTGCCTGTCCTGAGTTACCACATTCTGTTGAGCAATGTTTTGCCACGTGCTTCTGCATTTTGATTACAATCGCCAGGTGGTGAAGCTCCACACCTTGTTGTACAAGTAAACACCACCATCTGCCTGGCACCAACATATGGCACAGATTGATAAAGAGCCTACTTGTGCCAACTTAACAAACTAAGTCAGGAGCACTGGAAGCGCAGACATTCCCATCATACCAAGGATAGCAGACATGGGAGCTCATCACTCCTCCAGTGACAAACCTTCAGAGACCCGTAAAGGAACAGCCCCTGAGAAACACAGCGTCACTTTGCTTCGTCATGGTGGCCCTTCTCTTGGGGCTCATTTGGGGAAATCACCATGGTGACGAGCCACTGATATCCTGTCCCTGTTGAGCTTCAGCTCAGTCTGTTTCTGCTGCCTGTTGTGGCCATACCTCGAGCTGACACTCTGACACTGAAACGGCAGAATTCCATCTGCACCCTCTTGGACAGCTCACCTGACCACCTACAGTGGTTCTGCTTTTTCCTGGCTCAGTATGCTGCAGCCCGCTGGTCACTTTAACCCTTTCTCAGTCTTCCAGGACCTGTTTGTACAGGCTTGTGTGGTGTGTGCTGTGTGACTCCAGAGCCAGTTTTTAGAAACCAAGAGGGTCTGCCTGTCTGTGACCACCAGGTCACCTGCGTCCTTGGAGCCACGGCTGACAGTTAATTGCTGCTGCTCCACAACTGGCCCTGTTAGGGATGGCTCGCTCATGACATGGGACTGCCATGTGGGAACCCTGCTTTTATCTTTGTTCTGACCACAGACTCCTCTGTTGATCCGGTCCTGCACCACGAGTCAGGCCATGAAGAAATGGAGTTCCCTGCAGGGGACGGTGATGGCCCCACGCTGATGTGCTAAGGAGTTCCAACAGGCTTTCCCTCAAAACTAGTGAAAAACTGAGAGGATCGAGCAACTGCGCCAGGAGACACATCTCCATGCCTGGAGTGTGGGGCAAGCCCAGTGCCCCCGCTCCCCAGGGCTGGTGCCTCAGCAGGAGGGAGGCACCAGAACCCCAGATGCAGAGTCCTGTGCACCAGCAGAGAGACTTAGGAAGACCTGCATGGAGCAGGCACCCAGTGAGCTTTTTCTGTTAGCTTGACTGAGATTCTCAGTGGCCCCTAACAACCACCCTGAATACAGTCTTGGCAGAGGCACAGTGTGGGTCAGCTGCCCGCCTCCATACACAGTCACTGACGCTGTCTACCCTGGCATCAGAGAGTTGCAACGCACATTGACAGACATGACCTGTCCCTGATCTGGTGCTGTGTGGGCCCGTGGGCTGCGCAGGTTGACCTCCTCTGGCAGTCTGGAGGGAAGCACCTGCTGCTCAGAGACTCAGGAGCAGGCACCCACTGTGCTGTATTCCCACCCTGGAGCTGCCGCGCTGCCCGTCTCCATCTGAGCTCAGTCTGTGGAGTCAGGCCTGGTCCCCACCCCCCGCCACCCCCGCTGCTGACCTGCACCTGGGCTAGGATCCCAGTCTCTCAGCCCGGCCAGGTCTCAGGAGTTTGCCCTCCCTGGAAAGCCCTGCCCTTGGGGACAGCCTTACCCAGGAGGATGGCTGGTCCGGGCAGTGCAGGGTGCCCGAGCTGGAGTAGAGGATGTTATCCTTGACCAAAACTGAGACGGCTCTCAGGATGAAGGATAGGAACAGGTTCAGGTGGATGTAGTTCCTGGTGCAGTGTAGCTTCCTGTGGGAGGGAGGGACAGTCAGACTCTGGTTTTGTGGACTCTCAAGCAATCTCCTGAGTGCTTTCTTCTTATGAAGTTAATTTATTTAACTATTTCCCCAGCATTGTATATCTAGGTTGGTTCCGGTTTGCGTTATGATAAACATTTTTTGCACAAAGTCTTTCCCCTTATTTCAGACTGTTCAGTGAGGTCAGACTCAAGATAAACGTCCAGAGCGAAGCCACAGGTGGGCTGGCCTCACAGAGTGCAGGGGGGCAGGCCGAGCCTGGACGGGGGCTGCTCCTCCCCTGGCCTCTTGGGCTCAGCCCCAGGGTTCAGGCTGACGAGGTCCTCTCCTTGGAGTCTCATGCACACCCACATTCTTCTGCTTTGAGAGGGGGCGGCAGCCCCAGGCTCCCCTTCCCTCAGCCTCTTGATCCTCACTGGTCTCAAAAGCTCTGACCCCGCGACATCTGGGTTCCCATGTCAGGTGGGAAGGCCGCCCTCTGCCAACACCGACTTCCTCCAGGAACACCAGTACTGAGGATGGTCTGCCCAGCACCACACTCCACAGACCCCCAGGCATTTCCCTCCTGACCCCTCCTGAAGGGTGGCCCCCACTTCAACTGCACTCCTCTCTCCT